AAGCTACTTTCGCGTCGTGGCAGCATCTTGAGTACTTCCTGGATCTATTACGCTGATAAAGTTCAATACTCTTTTTGGGGTCGAGATTCAATCTCTTAGGACCCCGGCCATTAATCTCGCGGTGCGCCTCATCTTCTGGGCGTAGCCGTAGAGATATTTTGTATATTTTGTATATATAAATATTTTTTTGATTTTGTTTTAAAAGGTTTACTACAAATGTCGCAGAGGAATGTTGTAGTAGGCGAGGACACTGTCGTTTTGAATGGAAGAGAAAAATACCTGATGACGGATGTGTTGGTTTTATCATCAGACAGTATATGCTGTTGTGGAGACATAATAGGAATCGGTAGGACGGCTTGATATATTGAACTTTGTCCAATTGTCCAGAGTGTAGAAGGTTAATGCAGAGAGTATTTCCAGAATTGTAAATTCAAAGCCGGATGTGGGGTTCATGTTTGAAGTAGATGGCAATGGTAGCATTTAGAAACTTGGATAGAGTTTGAATTTCATCATCACCACCGAAATCTCCAGATGTTGACGTGTATTGATAGTACTCCTGATTTGTTGTGATAACTTGAGTTGCGGTGGAAAGAAGTACAAGAAGATCGTCTCCAAATCTGTCCCAAGGCGATGCAACGAAATCTACTGCCCTATGGCGTAGTGATAGTGCACTGCCTTCACCAAAAGTTTTGGTTTTTTTTGGTCAAGAAATAATACTTTGAGAAGAAAAGGCACAGAAGACTATCGTTCATTTCATAATTCATTCTTAAAATTATTTTACAAACCAATGATTCTTGTAGCAAACGCCTCTTTATTAAATAAAGAACTTCATTACAAGCACACTATTATTTTTGCCATATTCTATTCACAAATATATGTCACAAAATACACATCATTTAGCAAATGCTAAGAACATAATATCAGAACCAAAATAACTCATTAGGAAACAGTCATAAATTTTAGTTATAGCCCGCCAAACTCTGGTGAAAGCATTGCGTGAACTTCCCATCTACTGAAGTTACTTGACAAAACATGAACTCAAGTAACGCACATTTAAGAACCCCAATTTTTGCTACACCCCTCCCACATCATGCTTGTTATTTCACGCCAATGAACTATATTAAATACTCTGATGTCTAATGAATATCCTGATGTCCCAACCCCTTTTAAACTGAATTTTTTCTACACCTACTTAAATCTAGACAATTTCATTTTCCGAACATAAAATATTATGCGCATAATTCAGTTGCGTCATTTTAAAAAATCATTTAGCATAATTTTGGGGAATTATATTTTTCACGCTGTTGAACTTATTATTGAACCTTACTTTCTTTCAAACATATAGAATTATTTTTAATATACTCTCAGTCCCCAATTGGCTCATTAGGAAAGAGCTGGAAATAGAAGCAATGAATTAAGAAGCAGTCCACAAGTAATACCAGAAGAGTAATACATATATAAGAGAAAGTAAAAATAAAAGAAATCTCATCAAAGATGAGTTGAAACGCACTAAAAGGACAAAATAACTTTCAAATTTCTTTTAAAATGCATTACGCACTGAAATTCTTGCAGAATTGTAAATGAGAACTCTATGTAGCCAAAGGATTCGAAATGGATGTAGACGAAATTTAAATATGTTTATTTTTATTAATTTTTGAGAAAAAAAAATTACGACACAAATTCTTTGCCTAAAATCAAACTAATCATCCTTCACTTAAATAACTATTTAAATAAACTTGCTGTTGTACAACTAAAAACTAAATTCGAAGTTGCACCCATCCTCTTCATCGCGAGATCACTCAATCATGGCGAATTCTTTCCGTTAAAGTTAGGACCGAGAGGTATACAAATTATTTTGTTCCTCAGTCTGCATGAATTTACCAGCCTGCTAACTAACACACATATTCTGGTGAGGGTCTGAGATCTTATGACCCCGGCTAGTAAATTGGCTATCAACTCCATCTGTTGAGCTGAGCCATACAACATTTCCCTCACAAAGGATCCGCCAACCGCCCTGGCTTCCCCCGGGAGAACTAGTAAGGGACATTCAGTCAACAGGTGCTCCAGTGTCTCCGGGGCCAGGCTGCAATGCCGGCAGGTACAATCTCTGTTGTTATATGTTGTGAAAGAAGGTGTGTCATAGTAAAAACTATGTCGTGGCAACATATTTTTGTGATAGCATTCGTTTCATAGTAAAAACTGTGTCATGGCAAAATATGTGTTGTGAAAGAAGTTGTGTCATAGAAAAAAATGTGTCGTGGCAACTTATGTATTGTTAAAAAAGGTGTGTCACAGTTAAAGCTGTGTCGGGGCAACATGTGTGTTGTGAAAGAAGGTGTGTCATAGTAAAAACTGTGTCATGGCAACATAAGTGTTGTGAAAGAAGGTGTGTCATAGTAAAAACTGTGTTGTGGCAACATAAGTGTTGTGAGAGAAGGTGTGTCATAGAAAAAGCTGTGTCGTGGCAATATCTGTGTTGTGAGAGAAGGTGTGTTATAATATAAACTGTGTCGTGGTAACATATGTGCTGTGAAAGAAGGAGTGTCATAGTAAAAGCTGTGACGTGGCAACATATGTGTTGTTATAGAAGGTGTTTCATAGTAAAATCTGAGTCGTGGCAACATGTGTGTTGTGATAGAAGGTGTGTCATAGTAAAAGCTGTGTCGTGGCAATACATATGTTTTGAAAGAAGGTGTCATAGTAAAAAGTGTGCCGTGGCAACATATGTGTTGTGAAGAAAGTGTGTCATAATAAAAGCTGTGTCGTGGCGACATATGTGTTGTGAAGAAGGTGTGTCAAAGTAAAAACTGTGTCTGGCAAAATATCTGTTGTGATAGAAGGTGTTTCATAGTAAAATTTGAGTCTTGGCAACATGTTTGTTGTGATAGAAGGTGTGTCATAATAAAAACTGTATCGTGGCAAAATATGTTTTGTGATAGAAGGTATTTCATAGAAAATCTGAGTAGTGGCAACATATGTGTTGTGATACAAGGTGTGTCATAGTAAAAGCTGTGTCGTGGCAATACATGTTTTATGAAAGAAGGTGTGTCATATTAAAAACTGCGTCGTTGCAACTTTTTCTTGTGACAGAATGTGTGTCATAGTAAAAGCTGTGTCGTGGTAATATATGTGTTGTGAAAGAAGGAGTTTCATAGTAAAAGCCGTGTGGTGGAACATCTATGTTGTTGAAAGAAGATGTGTCTTAGTAAAACCTATGTCGTGGCAAATATGTGTTGTGAAAGAAGGTGTTTCATAGAAAAGCTATGTCGTTGCAACATCTATGTTGTGAGAGAAGGTGTGTCATAGTAAAAGCTGTGTTTTGCAACATGTGTTGTGAGAGAAGGTGTCATAGTAAAAGCTGTGTCGTGGCAACATATGTTTTGTGAAAGAACGTGTGTCTTAGTAAAAACTGTGTCGTGGCTACAAATGTGTTGTGATAGAAGATGTGTCATAGTAAAATCTGTGTCTGGCAACCTATATGTGTTGTGAAAGATGGTGTGTTCTAAGTAAAAACGGTGTCGTGGCTACATATGTGTTGTGAAGGAAGGTGTGTCATAGTAAAAACTGTGTCGTAGCAATATATATCGTGAAAGAATGTGTCATATTAAAAGCTGAGTCGTGGCAACATACATGTTGTGAAAGAAGGTGTGTCTTAGTAAAAACTGTGTCGTTGCAACATTAGTGTTGTGAGAGAAGGTGTGTCATAGAAAAATCTGTGTCGTGGCAATATATATGTGCTGTGAGAGAAGGATGTCAGAGTAAAAGCTATGTCGTGGCAACATATATGTTGTGATAGAATGTGTGTCATAGTAAAAGCTGTGTCATGGCAATATATATGTTGTGAAAGAAGGTGTGTTATAGTAAAACCTGTGTCGTGGCTACATAAGTGTTGTGATAGAAGATGTGTCATAGTAAAATCTGTGTCTGGCAATATTTATGTGTTGTGAAAGAATGTGAGTCATATTAAAAACTGTGTCGTGAAAACATAGGTGTTGTGAAAGAAGGTGTGTCATAGTAAAAACTGTGTCGTGGCAACATCTGTGTTGTGAAAGAAATGTGTGTCAATCCTGGAATAGAGGTCTCGGTTGCATTTCTCTAATATACAAGTCTGTTATTTATTTATTTTTTTTTTTATAATAAAAATCAACAAATCTTTCCTGAATTAAAAAAAAATAACTCAAGTTAAGTTTACTTTTTTACTGTGTCGTAGCAACATATGTGTTGTTAGAGAAGGTGTGTCATAGTAAAAATAATGTCGTGGCAAATCTGTGTTGTGAAAGAAGGTGTGTCATAGTTAAAGTTGTGTCATGGTACCCAATGTGTTGTGATGAAACGTGCACTATGGCATGATCACTGGCCGCGGATTTAATTTCATTTTAGCCTTTCATCATTTAAAATTGTCTTAAAGCCAGAACGTTAACAAGAATTTGTGAGATTCATATCAATAGATTTGCGTGCGGACAGTATTGAAATTGAAATTTATGAAACATTGTGTTACACTTTTTTTTTTTATTTGCAAATAAACGTTTACACTTGTTAAAAGCGTAACAGATTATAATTCTCGAAGTTCAAACTTTATTTCAATATTGATAACACGGATTGATTGATATGTGTACATTTAATCGTGTTTATTTATAGACAAAACGGACAATACAGAGGTTACTTTTAAGTGTTATCGTTAGTCTCGCAATCTGTCAAACATGTGAATGGAGACTAGCTGACATATATATATATATAGAGAGAGATATATATATATAGATATATATATATAGCATCCTTTATTCTTCGCGAGACCATGGAGTAGCTATGGGCACTCCATCAAATGGCTCACTATAGGTCAATCCTGGAATAGAGGTCTCGGTTGCATTTCTCTAATATACAAGTCTGTTATTTATTTATTTTTATTTTTTATAATAAAAATCAACAAATCTTTCCTGAATTAAAAAAAAATAACTCAAGTTAAGTTGACTTTTTTCAACCAACTTGTTTAACTTGCGTGTATTCATTCAACACGTTACACTAAGACTTGCTTATTACCAATGCCTGTATTCAAATTGCAACTTTTATTCCTTGCTAAAAATAACAATTTAAATTCTTACAAACGTCTTATTCTAGACGCTTGTCACGAAATTGAAGAAATAAAAACAGACACAAAAGTTCTGCCATCCCAAAGTATTTTTTTTTAATTTTTTTTTTTAGTTTTGTTGGTATAACATGACGAGGCTCTAAAATTAGATTGGACATTTTAATAGCACAAACAATATGCCGGGGACCATGCTTGCAACGCGGCAATTTTAAAACATCAGTCAACTGCCCAAACATGTAAGTATTAGATTAAATAATGTGTACCTTAAAACAGGAACAGAGGTGAAGGGGTGCGGAGGGGGCGGTAACCCCAGAGGCGGCACTTGTTTTGTCTACAAACATAAAATGGTGGCTTTTTGGGATAACATTGACATTGGAATGTATCGGCAACAAGGTCATCGATCCTAGCTTCGCCACTGCCTACAAGGAATACATAGTGTAACTTATTTTTATACACGCAGGCCTAGCCACACGCAGGGCTACCTACCTATACGCAGGCCTACGCTACCTACACGGAAGTCTACCCACACACACGCCTACCTTCACGCAGGTCTACCTGAACGCAGGCCTTCCTACATAGACGCAGCTCTACCTACCGACTTCTGACCGAGAGACTTCTTACCGAGAGACATCTGACCGAAATACTTCTGACCGAGAGACTTCTGACCGAGAGACTTCTGACCGAGAGACATCTGACCGAAATACTTCTGACCGAGAGACTTCTGACCGAGAGACTTCTGACCGAGAGACTTCTGACCTAGAGAGTTCTGAACGATAGACTTCTGACCAAGAGACTTCTGACCGAGAGACATCTGACCTAGAGACTTCTGACCTAGAGACTTCTGACCTAGAGACTTCTGACCTTAAGACTTCTGACCGAGAGACTTCTGACCTAGAGACTTCTGACCAAGAGACCTCTGACCGAGAGATTTCTGACCGAGAGACTTCTGACCTAGAGAGTTCTGATGGAGAGACTTCTGACCTAGAGACTTCTGACCGAGAGATATCTGACCGAGAGACATCTGACCTAGAGACTTCTGACCAAGAGACATTGGACCTAGCGACTTCTTACCGAGAGACTTCTGACCTAGAGACTTCTGACCTAGAGACTTCTGACCTAGAGACTTCTGACCTAGAGACTTCTGACCTAGAGACTTCTGACCGAGAGACTTCTGACCGAGAGACTTCTGACCGAGAGACTTCTTACCGAGAGACTTCTGACCGAGAGACTTCTGACCGAGAGACTTCTGACCGAGAGACTTATGACCTAGAGACTTCTGACCGAGAGACTTCTGACCGAGAGACTTCTGACCGAGAGACTTCTGACCGAGAGACTTCAGGCAGTGCACGTCTTAAAGACCCGTTGTTTTTTTAAGTATAAGTAATCGATAAATATAACGCTTAATGTCATGAGCAGAGACAGCACTTTATTAACAAAGATGACTAAGGAGCATAACATAAATACTCTGTTGTTGCTCAGATGCTTAAACGCATTGAATTTGTTATTTACATTGTTCTGAAGTCAATCGACTTGACTTTGAGTCAATCCATAAACAAATTAATCTAAACATAAATCTATTTAAAAATATTATTTTTTTTTAAAAAAAGAACTTCGCTCCCGATGCTTGATTAAAGATTTTGTTTATGGAAAAAAAAGAACACAAATATCAACCGAATTAAATAAGCAGGAACACCAGTTGGTTTTTCATTGTCGTAGAGCCGAACCGTAAGAGATTTAAAAGCAAATAAATTATCTTCTTCGGTCATCAAAATCTTTTTTATTAAAAAAATTTTTTTTTAAAGGAATGGTTTTAAAATCTCCGATTTAAATTTGACAATTGAATCTTTAAATACTGTTACTTAAATACTGAATTTTAAGATATGATGACGTCATTATTACGGCATAGAGAACGAAAATGCGAGGAAAAAGATGTCTCTTTTAAGAAATGTTTTAAAGAAACGAGTTGGCCCGGATATAGATTTTTACGAACTTGGCCTCCCCTATTTCAGACCTGTTTACCCTTACGCTTACGCCCTAGTAATTACGTTTTTAAGCCTAAGACTACGTCGCACGATGCGTTAAAAAAAAAAAACACACAAAAATCCCGATTGGGAAAAGGGGGGGGGGGTTATCGTTTGTTTATGGTTTATTTTTTAATTCTAAAAATATATAATAGGCGGTATTTTCATTAAAAAAGTTAAAGCATTTTGTGTGTTAACACCTTAAGCGATCCAATAAGAATATCTGTGGTTGGCGCTTGAGGTCTCGATCTCAAGAAACCAACCAGAATATTTTTTTTCTGTTAGAGAATTAGCGTTGTTAATACTTAACTGCCAATGTTCTTGCCTTAAAAACTTTTCTCATCCTTAATAAATAAAAAGCAGGACCGTACCCTGTGTATTTATTCATGTTCACTTACATAAGCAGCTGAGAGGATTTCCTTACACAACTTGTATTTTGATTGCAACCAATACCCCCCCCCCCACACACACAAAAAAGTGACCAAATTTCTCTTAGGAGCTGGTTTTTTTTTTTTTTTTTTTTTTTGATAGCTGAAAACTGCGCTGACACTAATCCAGGGGAAAACAGGTCTGTCTAATTAAATACATTAAAAAAAAACTATAGAGAAATCTAACACCAAATTATTTTTTCCACTAAGGTTTTTGAAAAAAAGGAATTTTGAAAAAGGCAATATTGACAGTAAGATTTCTTGTCACATAGTTATTGGAATGTACACGCATATCAACAATTTAAATATATACAAATACTGACCTTGACCTGTATACTTAAAGGCATTTTTGGAATGTTCACCGTAAAATATAAAAATCTCAACATATGCAAAATTGTAATTTATTTTTTGTGTTAAATACCGACCTCAACTTTAATTGTGAACTGTATTTTAGGAAAGTTTCCCGAACTCTATTGGCATCCACAACATTAGAACTTGTCAATAAATGAGCAGTAACCTTGAATTTTATTGTGAATGATATTTTCGGAATCTTGTTCAGAAAATATTCAAGTTTCACTGTTAAAATTGTTGGGTAAAAGACAAATAGTGTCCATTTGTTTGAAACTTTAAGCTCTAAACTTTTACATTCCAACAATTGAAATTTTTTATGAGAGCCAATCTTCTCGACAAGTGGGGGGGGGCGGAGGAGGGGAAATTAATGCGGGGGGGGGGGGGGGGGTGACCACTGGTAAATAAAGGCTTCCTTTGGTTATATCCCTTTGATCGCGGTTGAAAATTAATATAAGCGCTTGACAATGTCACTGTATTTTGACTACGGTAAATGACAATGCCACTGTAATTTGACTACGGTAAATGACAATGTCAATGTATTTTGACTACGGTAAATGACAATGTCACTGTATTTTGACTACGGTAAATGACAATTTCACTGTATTTTGACAATGGTAAAGGACGATGTCAATGTATTTTGACCACGGTAAATGACAATGTCACTGTATTTTGACAACAGTAAATGACAATGTCACTGTATTTTGACAACTGTAAATGACAATGGTACTGTATTTTGACTACGGTAAATGACAATTTCCCTGTATTTTGACTACGGCAAATGAAATGTCACTGTATTTTGACTACGGTAAATGACAATGTCACTGTATTTAATACATTTTAACTACGTTAAATGACAATGTCACTGTATTTAATACACTTTGACCACGGTAAATGACAATGTCACTGCATTTAATACATTTTGACTACGGTAAATGACAATGTAAGTAAATGAAAGGTGTTAAACGAATGGTTCTCAACCTATCCGAATGCCTCGACCCTTTAATACATTTCCTCAGGTTGTGGTGACACCCAACCATAAAACTATTTTCGTTTTCCTTTGGTCTCAGGGGACCCCCGTGTAAAAGTCGTTCGACTCCAAAGGTATCGCGACCCACAGGCTTAGAACCACGTTCAACACATCTGTAACAAGTTTCTAGCTTCACAACATTCTGCACCTCTTGCTGAAAGCCAGCTACGTGCCTTTACAGATGTTAAATCATGTTAATTGCATAATACAATGTAAGTTTTTTCAGATACAACAACGTTAAAATGACATTTTTAACACATGACCAGAGAAAGTTTTGCTGGCATCATTCAGTAAAAACATGTAGAGTTAGTTTCTTAGACGTATGTGGTCCACCTGTGCGACAGCTCAAAATGTATAAACATTGTCAATGTAAGTTTGTAAATAGAAATCTAGCACACACAAAAAAGAATAATACGAGGTCCGCCTGGTTGTATCAAGAGTAGTGGTCAAGCCATAAGAAGCGGTCATCTTCCAGCAACATGGCCGTCTCTCTGTTGCACTCCTCGTAAAAACTCCGTAGGGCAACTCTGGTCTCCGGAAGTACGACGCCATGTTTTAAGGAAGTCACGTGACGCCTAGTTTGGTTGAGGATGTCCGCCATTAGCTCGCTTGACACTGAAGCTGTTGGGGTTTTAAGAGGAGGGAGGGGGTGGGAGAGGGGGGATGAATTGAAAATAAAATAATTAGAAAATGCATTTACGCGGGAGATTTGAATTAAGTACAAGAATATAATTTATTGGGGGAAAAAATAATATTGTATAATCGAAGAAGAAGAATACTAAAATAAGCTAAAGGAACGTATTGCACACAACAGATGTTTCAAATTGACAGATGTATTGATTAGACACATGTATCGATTAGTCAAATGTATCGATTTGACAGATGTAGCTATTTGACAGATGCATTAATATGACAGATATATTAATTAGACAGATGTAGTAATTTTGACAGATGTAGCAATTTGACAGATGTAGCAATTTGAAAGATGTAGCAATTTGACAGAAGGGACACATTTTATAAATTTGAATATCAATCAGTTTAAATATGAAGTTCATTTTAATTATTTTGTCGTTTAATTATTGTTCAGATTGTCATCTCACGTTTTTAAATACAAAAAAAACCAGATAATTAAAGAGTTTCTCTCTTCTTCATTGCCTGCCATTCCAAAGTCACCAACCTCTACCCACATTGCACACCCTGCACCCACACTGAACACCCCTCCGTTCACCCCTTTTTAACCCCTGCCGTACCACCACTCAGTCTAGCTCCACCCCTTTGTAACCTCTACCATAGCCCCCGATTCGGTCTAGCTCCACCCCTTTGTACACTATATAGTAACCCCACTCGGTCTAGCTCCACCTCTTGGTAACGTCTGACGTACTCCTCTCCCCCCCCCCCCCCCCCCCACCCCTTTGTAACCCCTACCATAGCCCCCGATTCGGTCTAGCTCCACCCCTTTGTACACTATATAGTAACCCCACTCGGTCTAGCTCCACCTCTTGGTAACGTCTGACGTACTCCTCTCCCCCCCCCCCCGCCCGACTCGCTCTAGCTCCAGCAAATTCACAGTTTAAATTGAGTGCAAAAATATAACACGCTAAAATTTTCAGCCAAATAGTTTCTACATGCATCATCAATTCTTAAGTATGTCTATACTGGTTATAATAGCTTCTACTTGCATCATCAATGCAAAATTATGAATGTACTAGTTATAATGCGTGAACTTCCGAGCATCTAAACTTCCTTAAAAAAACATCCATTCAAGGGCGGCACTTTATAAGAATCTCTATTAGTGTTTACCCCCCCCCCCCCCTTTTTCACCTCTGGTTATAATAGCTTCTACTTGCATCATCAATGCAAAATTATGAATGTTCTAGTTATAATGCGTGAACTTCCGAGCATCTAAACTTCCTTAAAAAAACATCCATTCAAGGGCGGCACTTTATAAGAATCTCTATTAGTGTTTACCCCCCCCCCCACCTTTTTCACCACACTGACCCCGCCAAAGTCACTGGATACGCCACTGCTCTTCATTTTCATGTTCCTGAATTCCATTAATATTAAAATTTCCCACCAACTTTTAAGCCTCAGATTTTCCAACAGAATCTCCTTTCTGCGCAGTTATCGGTCATTTTATTTTGTGCACTATTGAACTGATTATTACACTATAATTTCTTCAAA